TAGACAACTATGGCAACCACACAACTGAAAGGGCAGAACTGTGTTCCTATAAAACCTCATTCACAAAAAAATCTGTAGGTAGATTTGGCCCCTGGGCTGGAGTTTGCCAACCCTAGTCCCTTTTAACTCGGTTTGAAGGATAAGGAGTGGATTATTACTAAAACCATTTACAAAAAAAACATACTAGTATATTATTTGTATTTAAAAATATTAATAAACAGTGTCCTAATCCAAAAAAATACAACTTTCTTAACTTTATCGATACAAATTTATGATATAATGTTATTTGTCATTTGGTTCAGATGTTCACTGGAAGTTTCAGTTAGTCAAACTTATCTTATGCTTCATACTTAGCTGAAATTTTGCTTCAATTTCATTGCAGGCTCTTTGGCTGTAGTCATGAGCATATTTATACCATAAATCTCTGAGAAAAGTGCACTTGATATACATCTTTGTGATGTAGTTAACTAACACAATTTATGAGCAAAATACTTTCTAAAAATTCATTTCCATTTTCATTTAAAATATTACTATTTATCACTTTGTTTTCACTTCCACTGATTGTTAAGAAGTAGACGTACCAAAGTCTGTGGGGCCTTTTAATTGAATGTGATTCACATACATTGTGGTGGTAATGTACCCATTTGTGCAATTATCTTATTAAACATACAAAGACATTAGGGAGAGAGAGCACATGAGCTGAGCCAGGGAGAGGGGTGGAGGGAGGGAGGGAGAGGGAGAGGGAGAGAGAGAGAGAGAGAGAGAGAGAGAGAATCTTAAGGAGTGTCCAAGCTCAGCACAGAGCCCGACACAGGGCCTGATCCCGACACTGGGATCATGACCTGAGGTGAAACCAAGAGTCAGATGCTCAACTGACTAAGCCACCCACATGCCCCGTGACATAAAATTGTTAAGTGACCATTACAAAACTACAGATTTCCAATTAATGACACAGTTTTACTTACTTTATCAGTGCATATGGATATATATAAAAGTGTGTATATGTAGATACGTATATCTTTTAATCTATTGACAAGGAAGAAGAGTATAAGGAACAGGAGGAGAGGAAGTTATCTCTGTTGTAGCAGAATTTAATGATTTTAGAGTCATTAATATGACAAAATGTTTTATAAAACACACCTTACTGTGTTTTTATTACAGTTTTTTTTAATATTTCCAAAACATGGCAATAATTAGTTTGAGCCAAGGTTTTACGGAACCTCTGAAGAATTACAGTTATAACTCAATGGGAAAAAAGAGTTTGAAAAATAATGGGTCAGCTAAAGGCCTTTATTTCTTTTAAAATGCAAATGCCTCTACCTTCATCTGCAATCATTCATTTATACATTAATGTGAGTGAATTTATTAGACATCTTTCCGAGGCTTGGATTTACTTCAGAAGAGAGGGAAGCAAAGAAACTCAGCAACTGAAAGTAGTGAGAAAGACTGAGTATTAGGGTTAGGAGCACTAAAGAACTACATGGACTACTTTAAAATTTTGCTCAAAGACCATAGAATCTATACATAACCCGCTTATTTGTATTTCCAAAAACAAAACACAAAAGACAAACCCACAAGGAAAATATCTACTGAATTACATGAGTGTTGAATATATTTCAGAATTGCATCCAACTGTTTTTAGAATATTGTGCTGGAAGAGTAATGTAATTAAATGAATTACTTATAATTTTGATCAACTTGAATTAAATTAAGCATAAAATTTCCAACCAGTGAAATTATTAACTGAAAATTCTCTGATCCTATGTCCTCAAAGACAGAAAGCAAGTACATTGTGCAGGCATCCCAGATCATGCACAGCATAACATAAGTGAGGATTTAATGCTCTAAAATCTGGTCCCATACCTTTGGTCTATGTCATGTTTTAAAATGCTTAAATGTTTTAAATTTTTTCTTAATTTAAATCCTTCTACCAGGTAAAATAATCTATCTTTATTGCAAGAATCTAGTCATGCATGCTTCCCCTACTCTGTGTCTCCATCAAAAGCTTTCTTACAGTTTATGGAAATAAGCATCCATTTCAATATAGTACAAATTTAGTTTGAACTACAAATTTTTGCAGAGGAATATAAGAAAAGTTGTTTGTTAGTATTTGAAGAAGGTGCTTTCTATAAAGGAAGTTATATTATTAAGTTTCTTTTAATTTCTTTACTTACATATTTTCTAAGAGTGAAAAATATTAATTTGGATCTGGGCTAAAGAAATGTGTTGAACTAGAATTATATTTTTCATATTTCATGCTAAAGTCAACACTTATAATCATTTTATGAGAAACTGAAAATATATTTAGATTTAAAGTACTGATTGACTCTGATAATTAATACTATTGTTTTTGTGTTAAGATAGTGAAAACAAAGTCAAATGACAGAAATATGTACCATTTAAAAGGGGGTCTATGCAGTTATCTTAAGTAATAAATTTCACTTTTTGACTGTTAAGTAGAACATTTATCAGTTAACAGAATAAATCTGCAATCAAATCTTAGAAGCATTTTGAGATACTTTTATCTGTTTTGTTGTCAAATGAATCAAAATGGAAAAAACTTCTAGATAAAGCCAATAAAAAAGGAAATACGGATTAGTATATTTTTAATATTCAGTTGATAAGGTCATTTTTAACAATGGAATTGTTCTTGTCTGATGATAAAACTAAACTCAAACAACTAGCATCATCGGTTTCAAGATAGAGAACAAAAAAGTTGAGCCAAATCAGTTATGAACATACTTTTGTTATTGCTCAAACAATTACCTTCAAAAACTCTGATTTCTACTGTTTTTCCCTATCTTTGTACTGAGAAAAGATTTATTCCAACTCACAAGCCCTACGGGCTCATACTTTTTTCATTCCCAAATTTATGGAAATTTAGCCCTAATAATTCCACACTAAGTAAGAAGACAGAATGAGAAGAAAGATGTTCCTGTACAGTTACGGGCAACAAGAGTCTCTGACAGTATTCCTGGCTTATATTTCTGTGCTTTATACAGAGAGGCAAAAGTGAGGCCTGCAAAAAGCATAAGGGCAATAGCTCCACCGGGGATTATACAGACATTTGTCCTGGTTGAGAGCAGTCATGAGCTTTATAAACATTAACAGCTCACAGGTGAATGCAGCTGGCAGCAGAACATTGAGAGTTATTCAGATTTATATCTGAAATATCAAGATGCAAAGGACATGCCAAGTATTGGTATGTAGTAACCACATAAATATTGGAAATTATTATAGATATTACATATATTTTTTAATTATATGGATTACATTACTAATATATATGTACCCAGTGCTTTCCTAAAGAGAAGCAGAGATAGTCTGATCTTAGTACAGTCCTTGAACTAATTTTAACACCTAGGAGATTTTTTTTTTTTTAAATATTTTATATATATATTTCTGAGAGACAGAGACACAGCGTGAGCAGGGGAGGGTCAGAGAGAGAGGGAGACACAGAATCTGAAACAAGCTCCAGGCTCCGAGCTGTCAGCACAGAGCCCGACGCGGGGCTCGAACCCACGAACCGCGAGATCATGACCTGAGCCGAAGTCGGACGCCCAACTGACTGAGCCACCCAGGCTCCCCAACACCTAGGAGATTTTTACTAATCTTCTTAGATATTACTTATACTGAAATACAAATACAATATTAATGTCAACAATCCCTAGGAAACAATGATTATATTTAATTCCATTCATTTTAAGATTCACATGGTACAAACCTACTCACTTCTTCTATACATTTCTCCTCCAAGGAAAAAAAAAACCCACTTTCCTCAATGTTTTCCTACAGTTATATTAATTCTGAGTATGACCATTTATATTAAGTTGGTGTATATTTGCTTGTACTAAATTACATGACTTTTCAGGGTTTACCTCTTTAGGATTACCTACATGTTTAAGGGGCTTCAAAAGTTTCTGTCACTGACAGGTTGTAATAAGCACTCCTTTCAAGAGACTAGTACCTAATGCTTTCTCTCTCCATTTTTGTCACCCTTATGGTCACCATACTCCATCTAAGAGAAGTAACTGCTGGGTACCAAAACTTGAATCAGATACCTGAATACATGGAAATATTAAACTATTTCTTACCACCATAAAGCCTACCAAACATCTTCACATGTTATTGTGTTATTTATTTTTAAAATACGTTTATTTATTTTTCTTGGGCCCATAAGGCTGTAACCTTTCCATACGCTCTCTTTGCTACACTGAGGTGGCCAATACACTTTCTGATGGCAGTCTGAATGCTATCAATAGTATCAATTAGATAGATTCTGGAAAGTAAAGAAAATGAACAGAAATTATTGAAGCATGATTGATTAATAGAATACTACCAGTTTAATATCTTTGTCTATAAAATCTATCAACAAGAATTAGTTGTCTTGAAAATTCTTATACACAGCTATTCTATCCCATTTTGTTAGTCTTTTCTGATTTGTTCTCAGGCCTCCTAATAGTTGTTATAAAATTTCTGGAAAAATAGGAGCAGCTAACCAATATTTTTTGTGGGATATTTAAATGTGCCATTATAGAGCAACACCTTAATATAAGATAGCTTGAATGTCATAGCCTAATTGAACAAAGCCAAGAATAAAATATCTTGCAACACAATAGTAAAAAAGCCTTAACAAGGCACTTGTTATAATAACTCAAACGCCTTGACTAAAATGATCACATTTCAGAACTTCATGTGCAATATATCCTATAATCTTATCTACTAAATACTCACATGTTTCTATTTTCTGTTGGGAAGGAGAATAGAAGAATGAGATCCAAAGAAGAAAAATAAAGAAAAAAATCCATGAAAAATATAGCCAGTGTATACATGATTTTAGATTATGATATAATTTAATTACACATACATATCTGATAGTATGAAAAATGTAACTCCATATATATGTAGACTACTGTGCAATGGAAAAGTCTTTAATTTTAATGTAGCCTTGAAAGCAAGTTAAAAAGCAAGTTAACACAATTAAATGTGAGAAAACTGACCTTGACTTGCAAACTTCAACTCTTTAGCATCTGTGAGTGTGGTCCTTTTGTCAGACGCTTTTTTCTCTATTCGGCGATGGCTTCGTCTTTTCTTAGACTCTCCCCAAAGATTGGATCCACCGTGCATGCTCGGTATGTTCAAAATAGCAATTCCTTCCAGAGAGATGTTTATTAAATCAATTTGTACTCCATCACACTGATCAGTAAAAAGAACAAGAAAAAAAAAAAAAAACAGTAAGATATTTGATCTTCCTTTCCTTGATTTCTTCTTTTGCACTTCCTTATCTTTCAATAAGTCCACAATCTTGTCGTATTTAAATAAGCCTTTCAAGAACAATTAAATGACTACCCTAAATGTCAATATAAAAGTTAAAGCAGCCAATAATATTAACCAGTTATCCTTTAAGCATGTCTTTAAACATGATCAAAGTAAATCATCAGTCTATCTTGTTTACAGAAACCCACCGGGAAAGACACACATTAGTGTCTGTATGATCAGCTACAAATTTCCAACATGTTGCAAACAGGTTGAGGCTATGAAACCTGGTCAACACTTATGCAGAAATTTTTTAAAAAATATTTACTTATTTTTGAGAGAGAAATAAAAGGAGAGAGTAAAAAAGAGAGAGACAGAGAGAGATAGAACCTGAGTGACATAAGGGCAGAGAGAGAGGGAGACACAGAATCTGAAGCAGGCTCCAGGCTCTGAGCCGTCAGCACAGAGCCTGATGGGGGGATTGAACTTATGAGGCACGCAGAATTTTTCATGACAGCCTCCTAGTTAGAACATGCTGCAAACCACTATTGAAGGAAAGTAAGGAAACCAAAATTTGTGGTCTCAGTTGGTCAGAGAGAGAAGTGGTTTAACAGACTTTGGGGGAAAAATAAAGTAAAAAAAACAACAGTTCAAAGAGACCTGAATTACATCACAGAGGTCAAGGACGGTTTCTTGCACTACACTAAGTGCCAAGCACAGTGTCAAAAGAATGAGAGGCACTACCATCTGAAGGAATATGGAGGAGCAGGACCAGGCAGGCTGAGTGACAGAAATGCCAAGAACAGCAGTAAAAGCAATCTCCAATGTACCATTACTTTATAGCTGCTGTAATAATAGATTGAAATATAAAAATAATCAGCCACAGTTTTTTGTTCACCTGGTGACAAAACAACCTTCTGATTATGAAAAATATGAAACTTGCTAACAGATGATGCTCTGTGATATTCAGAGTGGTCACTTTTTAATTTTTTGAATTTTCTGTTCATTTCTACTGATGGAAACGTGAGGAGAGTGCCTAAGCCACACTGTGTTTTGGGAATTATTAATTTATTCATTCACTTTGTGGTTTCTAAAGTGGGGGCACTTATTGTGAATTTACCCCAGATACTGTTCTCCCTGTGTCAGCTGATAGGAGCTGATATACATGCAAATACGTAACCCTTTGTTTTACAAAGAACTTTGTTAGGGATATTCATTTCATAATCTGAAGTCTATCTGCAGTGGGGCTGTTTTATTTGCCACGAGTTATTTCAGAAACAAACAAACACTGATACTGACTTCATCTTTCTCTTTCTCATGGTAAGGATGATTTTTGAACCTAGAAGAGATAACGCTGCACCTAAATGAAAAAAAAGAAAAAAAAGAAAAACAAACAAGAAACCTCTCTTTCTTTCCGTATTTGCCTCTTTGTACCAAATCTAATCCTGCATCTTGTTCACTAAAATATAAAAACTGTGAAATAAAGCAACACGTCTTGAGTCTACTTGGCAGGGCTAGAAACAGATTCTAGAGAAGGTGCCAAGTTTTCATTCCATTTGTTTCAAAGGGGGTGAAACTGAGGTCTGGATGATGCCTCCCCCCCCCCGAAACAAGCGATATTTTTCCTCCTTTTCATGTATTAAATTAAGATGATTTCTTTTTACTAAAGAATTCTGCTCATGTGTATACTCACTTACCGCTATATATTCTAGATAAACAGATATTAATTTCATAATTAAAAGTAATCTTGTGTAAATACCCTGCAGGCCTCAATGAATCAAACACATACTGTGTGTCAGCCCTCCCGCTGTCTTCAAGTGGAATGTACTGGCTGGATAATTAGATAGTACATATTTTTTAACCTTATTTGCATGCATATTATATCTTTTGCACACTGACAAGCAGCAGTAACAACAAAAGTCAGATTACCACAGGGAATTCCCACAAAGAAGTCTTCATTCCTTATAATTTGCAGCCTAAATTAAAATAATTTGATCTTTGACAAGGATGAAATGTCAAGCAGAAGGGGGTCCTCTACAAGCCACGGCCTGTGGCTTCTGAAATCTGCCTAATTTATGTCAGTCACTTCTTAATACATATTTAAGTATTACACGAAAAAGATGATAAATATGCAATCTGACACCTTTGGTATTTCCCTGCTGTTAATTTATAAAGGTCTGGCTTTCCCCAAACTGACTAAAATCATTTAAATAACAGAAGAATTGTGAAATAAGCTAGAGTTAGGGCCTGGCTTCCATTTTCACTCAATATTGAACACAGCAGGTAGTACACTAAGACAATTATTTGACTAGGCCTTAGAACCCCACTGTGACAAGTTACTTTCAGAATTAGTGAAGGAGTATTCCTTTGTTCATCTGCAGAAAAGGAGAGCGGTTGCAAACAGGCTTTTTGTTGTAATTGAACTAGGGGAGTTACATGTGACAACTGAAAAACATCAGTGTATACTATTATTCATGTTTTCACTCTTCAGAGTCTCCTCACGTGTACTTTCAAGGAAATAGAGTAAGCAGCTTTCGGAAAAATGAAAAAAAAAAAAAAATCCTCAAGGAGTCCCAAAGAAGGACTAATGAAGAACACTGAGTTTCTATGAGCAGGACAACGTACTTACATAAATTGCTATTTATTAATGATTTGTTTCCACTAGTTCTTGACCCCAGGTTACCTTCCTCTGTTTGCTTTAACATTTTGTTCATTAGTCTGGAAAATTTCAGCGCTAGTTCAGATGGAGACCAGGAATTGTAGCGCACCAATTGAGTGCATGGATATAAAAGCTGAGGTGAAGGCTTTGAAATATAAACAAGTTATAATACTGTGTCAGATAATATTTTCATCCGCTTTGAAGATTTATGATTTTTAAAAAGGTAGCTACAGAGTAAAAGAATATAAAACCTTAAAAGCTAACAGCCTTGGTTAGTCAATAAATCCTGAATATTTTTATTATGTAGAAAAAAGGTCGTTAACATATAGTACTATGGGAGCTATTTGCAGAGTGTGATGCTATAAGGCCACTGTCCATCCTTTTCAGTTTTAATATGGGAGATCTTATTCCAGAGACAAATTTACCTAAAAGAAATGAAGATGGTTTAAATTTTTCTGCCAGTGTAGTTTAATCCCTGCTTACAAACATACCTTGGACCAAATGATGCAGAGTGTTAAAGACAAACTTCATAAATAAATGTATTGTTTCAGATTCAGTTAACTTGTCATTTGATAGAAAAATTCACAATGTAAAGAATTTAGGAAAGCTGTGTGGTTAAATTTGATAATATATAATTTATACACTGTAAATATTTTTCAATAGGTAATCTATTTCTATGCCCAGGTCAGATTAAAAGTACATGTAATGTAATTTAATCAAGCACACAGACATTGCTTTGTTCATTATATAAAGTAGCCTGGATTAAAATAACTTACATAAGCCTGCTTTTAGAAGAGATTCTGCAAATTCATATGTAATTCGTAAGACAAAATTACGTATGTATTTGCAGAGAATAGCAGCAAATCTACCAATTAAAATACACCTGTACAGGGGTGCCTGGGTGCCTCAGTAGGTTGAAAGTCTGACTTTGGCTCAGATCATGATCTCATGGTTTGTGAATTCGAGCCCTATATTGGGCTCTGTGCTTACAGCTCAGAGTCTGGAGCTTGCTTCGGATTCTGTGTGTGCCTCTCTGTAACCCCTTCCCTGCTCGCACCATGTCTCTCCCTGTCTCTCATAACTGAATGAACATTTAAAAAAATAAATAAAATTTAAGTAAATAAAACAATAAATAAAAACACACCTGTACACATAAATAGCCTAACACCATCTCTTCCGATGTTTGAAGGCTGTGGTACTGTATATTTTCCCTTGAGTAAGCTCAATGTTTTTTGAAATGCATTTTATAACTTTTATCTACAAACCACAGTGTGATAAAGGGCCCAGGACATGCCTTTTAAGTAAGTGTATTATTAGTTGTCAGTCCAGTGGTGGTGATGGAAGTCTTGATTGCGGATAATTTCAAGATGTCTTTCAGAGCAGAATGGGAGTTGGTAGGTAAGCAAAAGAAACATGGAGGCCAACCTGGAAAGCAGGAAAATCTGAGGCCTGTACCATGCATGCACACACACAGGTGCTGAACATGCTGATGATAATAATATCACTGGCTCAAGGCGCAGCATTCACCATAAGTATCAGCAGAAAATCAGTTTAGTTTTACATATTTTTCTTTTTTAATAGGTACTGTGAAAGCTAAATATTATTGCTGGGATATTAGAATTCTTACCAGAAGTTATCTCATTAAGATAACTTCTGCTAAACACAGAAGAGAATATTCATTCAACTTTTGGTAATTCATTCCCTTTTTATTTGTCTTATTTCTTATTCTTTCTCCTAAGAAAAATTATGATGTTTTATCTTAATAAAATAACACTATGTCCCACCCCTACAACATTTCCTACTTTCTTCTGGAATAAGAAGTTATTTATTATGTTTTGGTTTCAATGAGTCCAACTTTTATTTTTAGTGACCACGTTTTTTGAGGTCCACACTTTTACTGTCTCCTTTCATTATTGCTTCTAGAATTTCATTGGGGAAAAATAAAGTCACCTAGAAAGCTTTAGAAGAGAGCATGGATCTTTTTTTTTTTTCTTTTTTTTTAAATTAATGTTTTACTTATTTCTGAGAGAGAGAGAGAGCACGAGCGAGCATGAGTAGGGGAGGGTCAGCCAGAGAGAGGGAGACACAGAATCTAAAACAGGCTCCAAGTTCTCAGTTAGCCTGCAGCAAAGAGCCTGATTCAGGGCTCGAACCAACAAACCATGAGATCATGACCTGAGCTGAAGTCAGACACTCAACTGACTGAGCCACACAGGTGCCCCATGCATGGATCTTTTAAGTGTTCTTCTTTCCTCTCTCTCTCTCTCTGTCTCTCTGTCTC